CAACCGTTGAACAATATCTTCTCAATACCGGACCAATTCATAGACGAGGCCATAGATGTGCTCTATTTGTTCAACGGATCGCTGGTTAATATCGGTGTTTGCATTCCCTCCACATGTCATCCATTAGACGTCGAGACGGCTATCAATCACAGTATGTATGGACTTAACGTCCAAACTGTTGCTCATATTTAACTTAATTTAGGTTTATTTGCATTAATTGAACACATTTTAATACCACGAGTTTCTCCAACAGTATTATATCCATTGATTCAAATGCCGGTGCGAATCGGCCCGATATGCGATCGTAAAGATAAACCAATAGCGCTTGATAGGTATCAAATGACCGCGATGTAAGTGCCTAACAAATTTCACACTTTTTTACTAGTTGTTTAAATAAAGCATATAATTAATTGTTTGTTTGTTTGTTTGAAAGCCTAATAATGTCAATACTGTTTGTGTTAACAATATTGTCGGCGATCTATGAATACTATATAAACAGACCGGAACTGCCTATAGATATGAACCGCAAGAACACAAACACAGATAATAATAAACAAACAATTTTGTCGCAAATCATCGTTTCGTTTTCAATCGTCGCAAATACAAAGTCATTGTTTAGGAAATCGGCCAAAAAGTTTGTTAACATTGATTTCGTACGCTTTCTAATGCTTTTGCAAACAATTCTTATGCATCAATACTATGTGTATCTATTCTGGAGTGCAATACCGCTCACCAAACGATTGTTTACCGGATTAGGCAGTCGTGTGGGAACTGATTATAAATATGCATTTTTACGTAATGTACACAATACTGACTTTTTCTTCGCATTATCGTAAGTGGAGGAAAGTTTAATTACATTAAATACGTGGTGAACATGTATTTACGTTTCTATCCATCAATTTTGGGTGTAATACTCATGTATTATTTGCTACCACTGGTGGGCAGCGGACCCTTTTGGCACACGGCTGACACTCAATATGTCGAGTCGTGTCGCAAATACTTATGGCCTAATCTATTATCTTATAATTACTATGTCTTAGACTTAGAGGAATTCTTTCACTCATCAATGGTTAGTCACATATACATGTATATAACATATATGTCACATTTTAGGAAGCATATAATTACAATGAGATAATTATAATTGAACTAACTATCCATTAGTGCAACCTCGCGAGCTGGTGGGCCACCACTTGTTTCCATTTGCTACTATTGGCCCCACTTTTTATTATACCATTTTACAAATCTACCAACATAATTTATTTCAATCTGTTTCTCACCGTTTTGGGCGGTGTTGTGAGCATTGGACACATCTTTGTTAAAGGGATTCCAGTAATGAATCATAACAGTTTTTACTTGAGTTATAATCTCCTTAGCAAAATAAGTTATAAGATATGCACCGGAAAGTAAGTGGTGTATAGCGGGAAACGCTACCCGTATTAGTGGCCGATAAACTAGGCTTTCGTAGGGACTATCAATTTTGGTGGCAGAATATGTCAAACTATATTATGGATTATATTCCCGGCTCTCACTGTTTGGAGCTTTCATTGGACGCAACAACTTATGAAAAGCGATATAAGTGTTGAGACCTTCACTATCAATGAAGTGTCCACTGAATTAGAAGTGTATCTAAACTTAACATTTGGTAAATTATTTTATTGTATGGGATTTCTATGGATATTTTATATGTGCAGCACTGGTAGAGCAGGTAATTAATATAAATTATCAAAATAATTGGTATTATTTTTGAACATTAAGTATAATATGATTTGTATTTTTAATCATAGCTTTTCTAAACCGTATGCTTTCATGGGATTCATTGACTCCGATATACAAACTCTCACTCGGAATATATTTAACAAACTTTTTACCACCGATTTATAGTTTGTTTTCATCCAAACAATATTGTCAAAAATGAACTCAATATTAGAGGAATCGTTTTATTCAATATTCTATACGTGGCCTTTCATTCACCACATATCGCCCTTTGCGATGGGCATAATCACCGGCTATTTGATCCGAAAGCATCCCGCTATCAATTTTGGTGGCAGAATATGTCAGACTATATTATGGATTATATTCCCGGCTCTCACTGTTTGGAGCTTTCATTGGACGCAACAACTTATGAAAAGCGATATAAGTGTTGAGACCTTTACTATCAATGAAGTGTCCACTGAATTAGAAGTGTATCTAAACTTAACATTTGGTAAATTATTTTATTGTATGGGATTTCTATGGATATTTTATATGTGCAGCACTGGTAGAGCAGGTATTAAATATAAATTATCAAAATAATTGGTATTATTTTTGAACATTAAGTATAATATGATTTGTATCTTTAATCATAGCTTTTCTAAACCGTATGCTTTCATGGGATTCATTGACTCCGATATACAAACTCTCACTTGGAATATATTTAACAAACTTTTTACCACCGATTTATAGTTTGTTTTCATCCAAACAATTTTAATCATAGCTTTTCTAAACCGTATGCTTTCATGGGATTCATTGACTCCGATATACAAACTCTCACTCGGAATATATTTAACAAACTTTTTACCACCGATTTATAGTTTGTTTTCATCCAAACAAACAATTGAATTGACCGATGCTTTCATGGTATTTGCTTTTAATTGTAAAATATTATTATTTTAATTAAGTTATGTTTTATAATTAGTTGACAAATTTTGTGTTTAACACATCGGTTACAATCATATTGGCGTATATTCTGTAATATAACAAACTTTCAGGTTAGCAATTATATAATTTTCAAAACGTTTGTTTAGTAAGTAGTTTACTATCTTATTCATTATGTTTATAATTATTATTATTAAGTTGTTTTGATATTTAACAAAAGAATCAAATATATTTACTAACAATTTTTTACAACATTTATAAGTTTAAATAAATCTTTAATTTTATTAAAGTCCATTTTAATCAGTGATTAATAATCACACAATACATGTAAAGTAAATGTAAAATTGATTTTAATTTAAACGAAATAAATAAAATAAAAGTAATTTAAGTAAATGAAGAGATTATCTAAATATGTTTAAATAATTTATCAAGTTTTGATTACATTTAGTGGCTTCACATGCGTCCTGACTTATAATCCCATGTTTTATAAATGATAGGAAAGAAGGGTTTGATTAAAAAGTTTTTAAATATATTTATTCATTATAGTAAGTGTTACTTTTGTGTTAAGTTTATTACAAATATATTAAAATTAATTTTCAAAGAAACTTATGTTTGATTTTTTAATTGTCTTTAATTTTGTTTAAATGATTAATATACTTTTTTTTGTAAATATTTGGCTTGAAATCTAATTTATTGTTTTTTAAATATTATACATAATCGGACGGTTTGTATAGTGTTTTATGGTAATCATTACATTTACACAAGGAATTAATTTAATCAACTTGTGATTAAATATTTAAAAATTATTGTAATTGTAAATGTATAACGTTTATACGTTTGCATTTTATATTAAAAGCTGTGTAATTTTATAAACAATTAAATAATATTAAAACGCCTATGTTGCGATAGTAACTTAACTAAAAGTTAATAAAAAAGACATATAAATTTATTAAGTGAATATTATCCATATATTTACAGTGTCTTAATATAATAAAAGTATAAATATTTATATTAAAGAATATATTAGTATAAGATTTACGATGAATGCTATGAATGGCATTCATATAATGATGGCTACAGTGAGAAGAGCTCATAAAGATGTCAAACAAGTGATGAACTATTGAAACGGCTTCTACTGTCTGCCGATGAGTACACAAGTATTTAGTCGTTTGCATTTGATTTACTCGACAGGATTCAAACGTTTGGTATAAAATGCTGGGAAATTTCCAATCATTTACATTATTATTACAATTATAAATATATTGATAACAATTTTTCTAGTGAAATGAATAGGAATGTATGGCATTCAATACATACTCGCATTCATTTTTATTGATTTCAGTGGACATCAAGTGGTGAATAGAGGATAAACCGGCAGTGGTTTGCATGCAATCCACGAAATGAGTTGCATTCCAACACCGGAGCTGATAGACAATGGCTGTGAATGAAGTGTTTTTTTATTGATTTCAGTGGACATCAAGTGGTGAATAGAGGATAAACCGGCAGTGGTTTGCATGCAATCCACGAAATGAGTTGCATTCCAACACCGGAGCTGATAGACAATGGCTGTGAATGAAGTGTTTAAACAAATAGTAATTATTAAATGTGTGAAGAAAATACATTGTCATCCCAGACATAGAGACAGACAGACTGACTGACAGACCTCTTAAAATAATTTTATCGTCATTCCCGACACAATCGCATAATTCATAATAAGTTTGAAGGAAAGCCATATTCCACTTATCAAACCTTCCTCTGCCCTCATCTTCACTACAGTCCGTATCGATCACATCACTCGTACAATTAAGCGCGTCGTCTATCGCACTAATGTTTGGTGTGAATATAAAGTAGTTGTTAATCATTATGTAATTTAAACATCATATATAACTTATTATTGGTATTTATGAATTACTTGCAAAGTTTTTCCAGATAGTCATTTGTATATCGTTTAAATGAAGTATTATTTGAATTAATGATTAGCTGTAAGTCTTTGTGAACAGCGCTAAAGCAGTTGTCTGTAAATCCAGGTTCGCAACGATCTTCAGATGAAACTTATTATAATAAATGTTAAAATCGATTTTAATTGAAATAAATATTGATATCATTAATTTTATACCAAAACACACTAATAATAGAGACATTAAAACACCATAACTTGGATTCATTTTTGGTGTTAAATATCTATTATAATAAATATTGAAATTATAATTTGTCCAAGATAATTTTAAATATTATTTATTAGTTTATACTACAATTTAGTGTTTACTGAAAATAGTAACTAAAGCACAATAATGTACAGTCCATTAGTTTATTCATAAGTATAATTCAATAGAGGATATGATTTAAAGGAAACGGAACTTGATTTTATGATTAGATTTAATTAATTGTTGGTTTTATAGTATTGCCTCAAAAATTGTATGTTATAATTAACTTACTAGTATAGTTGTTGTGTTTATAATATAATGACCGCAAACACTACATGATAATATAAAGATGATAATATACTTAAAACTTTACATGTATTATAGATTTATAATACAAGATTTATAAAGTTACAAAAATACAATATTAAATACAAAATAACTGTATTGTAATTACTAAATTTAATTAGATTAATTAATTGTATATACAGTACACATCTAACCCATGTAAATAACATTTTTATAAAGTTTATAACACATTTATATTTCTACAACCATTTTAACCTTTTTTACAACCTTTTTAATAGAAGTAGTTGTGCCACAACTGTTGTGCCATTTATAGGATTAATATAATCTATATTTATATAATAACTACAATTCTTAACGAATTTAATATATTATATAACAAGTGTGGGCACAAATGTTGGCATGAATGCTATTGTTATATTGGATTTGTTGGTAATGTTAACCGCGCTGAGTCTCCACTCGTGAGCCACACATAAGACAGTTTCAATTGTGACCGTCGATGCGTAGTATCGGTTACATTGGCTCATGTAATCTAGATTTAATTGAAAGGGCGTTTACGCTCTATAAACCCCCTCCTCGTGCAAAACGGTCAAAGAGTTTAACAAAAATCTAAAATAGCCAAAATATCCGTCCCATAAATACAACATTTTTATATTTTTAAAAATTTATAAAAAGCAGCCAGGTTAAAAATAAGAGCATAAACCTCTTGGAACGGAACTGTGCTCACGACTTACTCACGATCATTACTTTAATAATAGGCAGCAATTTTACAACATTCAGTAACAATACTAACACTGCATTCATTAACAATAAATCATTTAACGAATTAATTTAAATTTGATAAATTACAAATATTTCGTTAATTTACTTCACAATTCATACATTTACACCAAAAGCGATGTCGACTCTCAACTGGTCTCCAAATTGTGACAAAAATCTCCATTTCCTCGTATTTTACAGCAAAAGACCGTCAATTCTGATACCAAAGGCCACATTCATCGGCTCATTTAAAGGACAAGTAAATCACATCTCGAGTGGCCATCAATGCAATGGAGGAACCATTCGTACATTTATGATCAACTCAAGTGATGCCGAGATGAATGGTATGGCCCATGACATCAAACAATCCCCAAATATTGTTGTTGTGAGCGTTACCTCCAACGATGGTATGGCAATAGTGATGGGCGAGAGTGGCGGCGCTTTTGTCTTCGGTCAGGGATCAGTTCTTAAGGTGAAGACAACGAGCATTACCACTAAAATTGGCGACAATGAAACTCAAAAAGCCATAAATGGTGTCTACGGTTTGACTGTCACCAGTCGTTATCGAGTGGTTATAGTTATAACACATTCCGAAGAACTTTTAATGATCTGTCTATTACCACTAAAATTGGCGACAATGAAACTCAAAAAGCCATAAATGGTGTCTACGGTTTGACTGTCACCAGTCGTTATCGAGTGGTTATAGTTATAACACATTCCGAAGAACTTTTAGTGTAGACAGTTTGTCTGTTGCTAATATGATAACTTGGTGACCAACTACTGTACTTAGCTAGACTTTGACTACTGTCAGATATAAGTAGTGTTTTTAACTCAAAGGGCTCTCTGCTCAGGGGTTTACTCTGAAAGTTTACAAATCAATTGCTTAGATCTGAACTGAATGAAGAGAGCGGTTCCTCTGATGGTGCAAATGGTGCTGAGATCTATGACTATCAACCCGTGCCCGAGAGACTCTGTCGAAGTGGACGATTTGTACCTCTTTTTAGAGACAACAATTATTAGCTAAAATCCTTTCTCATTGGCCTCAAGACTATGTAATTTAGATATTAATGTGTTTATCAAAAAAATTATTTAATAAAAATACCTTTTATTTTGAAATAAATATCATTACTAATAATGAATTGATATTATTCTAAAGTATATAACAACCAATTGTATGGACACAGGTTTACAATATATTCTAATAGTAATATTTGTTATGAATTCTCTCTTTATTCCATAGCAACCGATCTATTGTTTTGTAAATTCTTTATGTTTAAAGTGAAGAGTTATAAAACAATAATATTTAACAAAAAAATATGATTTAACATTAGTTCTCTACCTTCTTTATTTCATATATTAGTTACTTAATTTATTTGTTGGGAAATTATTTCCCGATTTATAACAGTCAATACTATGAAACTCTCCGCTTGTTTCTTAACTGATTCTGTTGCAAGTATTTGATGAAATCGATGCCACGGTTTGTAACACATATTTACAATTTAACAATTTCCTTGATAAAAATAAATTGCTTCATAATTAAAACACAGATCTAATCTATATAATGATTTTATAAATTTCTAGTTTAAAAGTGAATCCCTTCGGAATGCAGAACCAGAAGAAGTGGTTTCAGCCATTTTGGAGACATTGAGAATAATGAAATATACGCCTCCCGATGATGTCAAGCCGTAATCATACTTTTGTTTTGAGTTTATTGTAACACTTTTGCCATAATTTGAATTGAATATTATATAGAAGTGAATTCCGTCAGGCGTTGATATTAGGCGACAGAGCGCTCACCACTCATATACTCAGTTGGTTTCTCCATCGACTGCCGGCACTTAAAAAGAGGGCCTATTTGTCAAAGTTTTTGGTGAAGATAGAGCTGTCGCCCGAAGTGGAGGGCGATCACGATGTTCTCATGATTTACCAACAGGTGATTTGCTTTCAATTGATTAATTACAAAACATTTAACAACCATTTCCTATGAAAACAACAGTACCAGCGAATGATTGACGAGTTTAAGACAATTCACAATTCGTACGAAAACCTAAAGAAGAGCATCACATCAGTCCATGAGATACAACGGGACGTGAAGTCTATGGAGGACGAGAGGGAACAGATCACTCAAAAGCTCAATAATATTAAACGAAGAGTCGATGTGAACAGTAATGCGGAATATTTTGCGTTCGTTAAGGAGTATAGGGAAGAGAAGAGCAAAAACGATAAAATTTACGCTCAATTACAGCAACAGGACTTGCAATCCGAACAAATCGATAGCAAATTCAAACGTCTGGAGCAACAGCTGAAGGAAACAAAGAGTAATTTCCAATACGAAAGTTCTCCGCAAGACTTGATCGACAAACTCGAAGAGGAGGTGAGAATTAAGAAGCACTTGATTGAGGAGGTGTTGCCATCAGAGTTGGAACAGTTGAAGAGATACGTCGATGATATCAATCAGATCGAGAGTCAGCCGCAGATGAGTAACGACTACTTAAACAAACTAAGTATTCAAATACAAGCGTTGAATCGCGAGATCAATACCATCGTCGAGAATAAGATGCTTAACAACGACCCGATGGCCGATAAAATGGCTTTATTTCGGCAAAATGTATGTTCGCTTCCAAACTGTGTTAACGTATTTATTATTTCATACTTATTATAAGGCGGCGGATGTGGCGAAGAAACGAGAGGTCACTTCGGGGAGCGTGAAGGCAGCGGAACAAGAGTTGACAGAATTGGAGAAAGTGCTCAAACAGAAGAGAAGTGGTCTAAAAGATGGCGACCAACCACTTAAGGGACAGGCGGTAAGTGTTTGGCTATTCAATTAATTGTCATCAATGTTTAGATCGTTTAAATTAAATGCATTTAATTGCTTATTGTTTGTTGGGATATAAAAGTTAAAACAATTTGTGAATACATTGCGCGACAAAAGCAATGAATACAAACTCCGTCGAAACGAATTGACGGAAATACGGACAGAAGTGACCGTTTTTAACAACACGTTGGATGTGCTGAAGAGTAAAGACAAAGAGTTGACCGATAAGCTGATCGCATTGGAGGAACAGAAAGGCATCAGTGGTTACTTCTCGATGCAAGAGAAGTGTCTGAATAAAGTAAACGACGACAACAAATTGCAGACCAGCGATGAATTGGTGGATATACTCAAGAATCTTAACGACAGGATCACCGACAAGAAGACAACTCTGGCGCCGATCATCAAAGACTTGCGTCCAATGCGGCAGAAGTGTCAGGATTTGCAGCTCGAGTACTATCAGCGACAACAGGCGTACGACTCGATGGCCGCCGGACTCGAGACGAGTGTCGGAAAAGTAGAAAAAGAAGTCGAAGACCTGACCAAACAGATGAACGCTTTGGAATCAAACCAGTACTTCATTGAGTGTCAGCTCGAAGTGCTAACAGCGCGACAACACATGTTGGACCGCGAGGTGAGCCTATATGTGGCACAAGAGAGCGGCCAACAAATGGATAATTCAATTCTGTAAGTCTTATCTTTCAATAGTTTTGTCTGAATCTAAATTAATGATAAAAATTGCATTTTTGGTACAGAAATCAAATGCAGATTGTTAACTCACTTGTCCTCAACCTTTTTCTCTTTGAGTTTGTTGTCGTCTTCCTGAAGTTCTTGTTACTCTGTGTTGTAGCGTTCGTTAACTTTTACACCTTTCTGAACTTCCGTAACGAGCGGCAATTACACAAGTGTCTGAAGCAGGAGATGGAGAAGAATGCTATGAATGAGTACACAATCAATGCTAAACGCGATCATCTCGTCCTTTGAATGATGGACACGGCTTTCAGCAATCAAATACATGTCCACTCATTCTTATTCAACTTTATTAAAAGTTTATTAAAAGTTTATGTTTAAAACGATCATAGTCAATTCTATAGTTATTTGCGGAACCTGTGATTCTGCGTTGCGTACATGCTATTAGATAACATGTATATAAATATATAAATAATTGGTAGAATACAATCGTTTACTATACTGTATATCGTATAGCAATCGTATGAATCGTATGGCAATCGTTGTGTAATCAATGCAATTGAACCACAATTATGTAATACCCGATCATTGGCTACATAATTGAGTGAACAGGAGTTGGAAAAAGAGAAACTCAAACAACAGCAGAAGGACTTCAAGAACAATGAGACACAACATCGCAAGCAATTGAAAATGTGGAAAGACTTGAAGGCATTGCTCGCCGTTAAGCACAAGTGTCTGAAGCAGGAGATGGAGAAGAATGCTATGAATGAGTACACAATCAATACTAAACGCGATCATCTCGTCCTTTGAATTATGGACACGGCTTTCAGCAATCAAATACATTGTCCACTCATTCGCATTCAACTTTATTCAAAGTTTATTAAAAGTTTATGTTTAAAATGATCATTGTCAATTCTAGAATTATTTGCGTAACCTGTGATTCTGCTTTGTGTACATGTTATTAGATAACATCTATATGAATATATGAATAATTGGTAGAATACAATCGTTTACTATACTGTATATCGTATAGCAATCGTATGAATCGTATGGCAATCGTTGTGTAATCAATGCAATTGAACCACAATTATGTAATACCCGATCATTGGCTACATAATAATTGGTAGAATACAATCGTTTACTATACTGTATATCGTATAGCAATCGTATGAATCGTATGGCAATCGTTGTGTAATCAATGCAATTGAACCACAATTATGTAATACCCGATCATTGGCTACAATCGAGTACAGTATGTGTGCTATAGTTGTTGTGTGCAATAGATGTCAGTAATGGTTGTAATGGTTGGTGAAGTGATCGTTAGGCGAACGTTGTATTGATTGAGTGATTGTGTGAAAGCATGCGTTGAATCGTATGGAAAGCGTTGAACACATTTGCAGAGCATATAAACCATAGACTCAACATTTTACTCACTTAGCAAACTTTGCGTAAAATTAGCGTTAAATGATTAGTTTGTTAATAATATGATAACAAAGCTGTGTCTATATTTGTATAGGACTAATATCTGGGTTGCTATCGTGATAAAATAATTATAATCCTTTATTGAGTTATTATTGTATAGTTTTAGTTATATTTGATTGCATTTGTGTTGCGTTTGATGTGAAAAATGCCTAAACTGTCGAATTCGAGGCGTAATAACAACACCAAAGGTTTGCATTCAAAACATTGTTTTCTGTATATTTCTCATTATTATTATTATTAGTTTTGCGACTAATTGTCGTATTTGTGAGCATTTGATTGTTTGTTGTCTTTGTGTTTATTATTTGTGTATTCAATGAATGCGTGTTTTGAATGGCAAACACTTTCGCAACGTTTGCCATATGTTTGCCATTGGTTTGTATTGAAGCCATGATTGCGTCCATTCATATCACATGGTCTTTGATGTCGACCTTCAGACTAGTCATTGTTCGCTCAGTCATCTGATCCGCACTTTATTAGTCGCAAGTGTTGACCTGTTTTGCTGCGATGTCTGTTCACCTCATTGTCTGTGTGTTTGATCCATAAAATGAGTGAATCGTTTGAAACGCATTTTAATCGCAATTTACTAATCAAACAATTATTATACTATTGTTTCGACACAGATATAAACATATCCTGATTATAGACCCAACGATAGCACTATTTTATTACGTAATCCTTTATTGAGTTATTATTGTATAGTTTTAGTTAAATTTGATTGTATTTGTGTTGCGTTTGATGTGAAAAATGCCTAAACTGTCGAATTCAAGGCGTAATAACAATACCAAAGGTTTGCATTCAAAACATTGTTTTCTGTATATTTCTCATTATTATTATTATTAGTTTTGCTTTAATTGTCGTATTTGTGAGCATTTGATTGTTTGTTGTCTTTGTGTTTATTATTTGTGTATTCAATGAATGCGTGTTTTGAATGGCAAACACTTTCGCAACGTTTGCCATATGTTTGGCCATTGGTTTGTATTGAAGCCATGATTGCGTCCATTCATATCACATGTCTTTGATGTCGACCTTCAGACTAGTCATTGTTCGCTCAGTCATCTGATCCGCACTTTATTAGTCGCAAGTGTTGACCTGTTTTGCTGCGATGTCTGTTCACCTCATTGTCTGTGTGTTTGATCCATGGATTGCGTCATTGCATGTGTTGTCTTAATGTGTTGAATGAAAGCGCCATTGAGTTAGTGATTGTTTGTAGCCATTGAAAGGAACTAATGGTTTGATTGTGTGATCTCTAGGTTCGGGTAAAGCCGTTCGCAAAGAAGACCTGCGATCAGTTGTGAGCGATGATTGCGATTCAGTCATTGCGGACAACGTGTCGGTCACTTCGTATACATCTTCGGCCAAATGGGAGGCCGGAAGTGACGACATGAACGGCGCGACCGACGACTGCAATAACGAAGACAATGGCGTCTATATCGACGACTTCGAGGAGAAGTTGATTGAAGCGATCGATCAGACGAGTGGAAAGTCAGCCAAAACACGACAATTGGCTTTGGATTCCGTTCGCAAGGCTTTGATCACTAGATTTTGTTTTGATTTTCTTATGGATAGGTTTGTTATTTTGTTGGATCAGTTGTTGGCAACAAATGACTAATGTATTGATGATATGATGTACAGAAAGGTGACGATTGGAGATGTATTGGAGCACTCAGTCAAACGAAAGGGCGAAGAGTTGGGTTCGGCGGCTCTCTTGTCGGGCGTTGTGTTCATAAGTCTGGGCGCGAGCGACGACTCGGACGCTATATTTGCCGAAATTGAGTCCCATTTGGTGGCCTCACTCATCGACCCATCAGTTCCCGCGTCTGTACGATCCAAATGCGCGGCCGCTTTGGGGTCAGTGTTTAATAGTGTAGTAAAGAAATTGGAAAATAGTTATTGTATTGTGAATGAATGCATTTGTTTGGCCACAGTTTGGGATACTTCATAACCAACAATGGCGTCGATTTGATGGACTCGATAATGGAGTTGTTTCAGTCGATATTCTCGGCGTCGTTCTTGAAAGGCAACGGCGCGATACCGACCCACACGCCGGACATGACATCACTGCACGCGAGCGCACTCTACGCGTGGACACTACTGCTCACTCTCTACACGCCGTCAGCGGCGCTCCATTTGGCCGAAAAGTTGTCGAAGAAGTTGACGGAACTGTTGGACTCGCCGGACGTTGAGCTGCGTATAGCCGCCGGTGAGTGCATCGCTGTGTTGAGTGAGATATCGCGCGAACGCGACGACGACTTCGAGTTCGAGGAGATGGACGCGCTCTGCGATAAGTTGCGATCGTTGGCCACCGATAGCCAGAAGTTCCGCGCGAAGAAAGACCGACGACAACAGAGGAGTAGCTTTAGAGACATCTTAAAGGCTGTGGAAGAGCGCGAACCGCCAAACATCACCGTTAAGTTCGGTCGCGAAAGGCTTGTCATCGACTCGTGGTGTCGGAAGAGACAGTACGACGCCTTCTGCTATGTCCTCAAATCGGGAATGAATTTGCACTTAGGTTTGTGTGGCCTCACAATCGGCCGTTTGTTTTGTCGTTGATTTGGTGTTTAATGAAATTTATGATTTGATTTAAAGCGGAAAACGATTTACTGCGAGAAATCTTTGAGTTGGGAACTCCTCTCTCATCACTTGATTACACGAATTCAAAGTTAACTAAATTTGAAAGAGTGAGTGATTTGTAAATTGTTTGTTTGATTTGAACGGATGTATTAAATATGTTTGAATCGCCAGAATATGTCAAACATCGCCAGTTGTAAAGCCCGGACCAAAACCAGAGGCAAACTAAGGGACAAACGCGCAGATATTATGGCTTAATTGTAGTCTTTATTTAAATACTTTTAAATTAAATAGTTTTTAACTAATTGACTAAATTTTGTACATAATTTTAATTAATATTATATTAATCTAATTAGGAATAAATATTTATTTCCTATAAAATTGCTTTATTTCTGTATTTTAAATCCCTTTGCTTTCAAATACTTGTTTTTTGTTTATATAAATAATATTTTAATGAAATGATTATTTGAATGATAAAAATGAATAAATAATAACTAATGATTAGCGCATCAATTGATGATTTGAACATTTTTTCATTAACAAATCGAGAGTTGTTAAATAGCGTAAAAATTATTTGGCTGTAATATTGCTGTGTCATTTGTACATTATGACCATAAGCAATCTACTGTAGGCCATTCTCACCTCAAAGTTTGTGGCACAAACTGCTCCATACATTGATGACAAAATAAGCAAAATATGTTTCATTCAAATTATATTACACAATAATATGAGAGATTTGGATTTGACCACTACATACTCCCAATGGATATTCAATAATTAGTATGGTAATTACAATTTATGTGAAACGTCAATAATGTACAACTACAGTATATGGTATACATTTTATAGTCTACATACCCTATAGATACAATAATTGTATGCAATTATAGCATATTTCAAATTGAAATTTTCAATGCATGCAATTAACACTTACCCATTATTATAATTTATAAACAAATATTTCACTAATTTTATGTTTTTATTGTTAGAAATATTTATGTTTCCTATCAATAAATGTCTGACTTGTGAGTAACGAAAACCAGATTTAATACATTTGTTCAAAACATGTGCTATAATTAGCATTAATGATAAATAATTAGTTGTAAATCCAATGAAACTCATAGACAATTTGTGGTAAACATCCGATTCTTTGCCAAAATAATTTTGTTTGCCATAAATATGTCTGATATTTGATACCAACTCGAGTTGTGTTACAATTAATTAGCCGTGAATTTGGTATTAGTTTTGAAAACTATTTTTTATTATTTGTAATAATGTATGAAATGTACATCAAATGCATGTAATTTAATGATAAACGGATCTATAATTCATACAACGAATAGATTTTTAAAAAATCAAAATTTCATTTAAAAGCAACTTTTGATATGAAGAGCGATATCATTAAAAATAGAGGTAAAATATTTCCATAATTTTAATTAAATAAATATATTGTGAAATAAAATAATTATGTATAAAATAAAATCTGAAATAAAAAATAATTATAAATACAATCGAATGGCACTTAAATTCATTGAATTTAAAATATATTCTCTGATTTCCTTTATAAATATATTTATAAACATATGGTTTGATTGCAACTATAGTTTAGGAAACAATTTTAGGATCTTTTGATTGGCTATAAAAATATGTTAAAATACGTGGTAAACTCTATGTAAATCGGACTACACTTGTATTTTTAAAGGCATTTTCATTACACGTTTAGGTTTCTTAATTTTACACATTTATATATAAAAATATTTACAATTATAAGTAAAATTAGTCGTAAAATTGTGTAATAATTAACAATTAATTTACAGCGAGTATAGGAAAACGAGAGCTTTTCCCATACATACACACAAAACATAAAACGAGATCTAAATTAAGTCATAAAAACGGGTCATTTAATTGGCATTCGTTGCCCTCCCGTATCACTCAATCAACAGGTCGTCTCATATACCGGTGCTTTTGGCTCAGAGTTTTGTTCATCCATTTCATTGACTGTTGATTTAATTTGTGTTTCATTGTAATAGATGTTAGGAATGGGATAATTGATATAAGTATTGCATTTATCAAGGTCAACCCTCTGTCGCTCAGCCTCTTTCTCCAATTTGGTGATCACTTCCTGCACTTCATTGACGAGTTCGGTGAACGTTGGCCTCTGGCGGTGATCGTCAGACCAACACCGGAGTAATATATAGTACAGCAGTTCGGGACAGAACGAGGGCCGAGGCATACGGCGGCCCTGTTTTAAGTAATTCAATATTTCCCAGTTGTCAACATCGGGATAGGGTGTGACGCCCCGAGTCAACAGCTCCCACACCAGCACACCGTACGACCAAACGTCAGTCTTGGTATTATATGTGCCCTTTTCTAGACTCTCGGGAGACATCCATTTGACCGGAAGTTTGCACTTCTTGTTATCACTGCTATAATAGTCTCTCTCATAGATATCACGAGAGAGACCAAAATCGGCCACTTTTACGCACAGTTCGGAGTCTAGCATACAATTACGAGCCGCCAGATCGCGGTGAACAAACTTCTGGCTCGCGAGGTAATCCATTCCTATGGATAATTATAACAAAATATTTAATATATTTCATTACAATATGAAAAATGTTGAGTTAAACAAACCCATCGCTATTTCAATGGCGAAATTCAATAGTGTTTTAACAGTCGGGTTATTGTTCTCATTCCTGATGTACGACAGTAGGTCTGCGTTTTGCATATACGGCAACACAACGACTGGCATTCCGTGCTCTTCAAAGCAGACACCGATGAGTGTCAACACGTGGTGATGACTGAAGTCTTTCATCATTAATCCTTCCTCGAGGAATGATTCCACGTCCATCTCATCACGAATTATAGCTATCGATAAAAGCATTGTTTAATGAAAACTGCATTACGATTGGCACCGGTGTTGACACTTACTTTTGACGGCCACTTCCCGTTCGGCCCCTTTCTCTGGTGAATGTAGCATAGCTTTGTAGACCTGTCCAAAATGACCATGGCCAATCACTTCACCTAATATCAAGTTCTCCCACTCGATGAGTATGTTTTCTGCGCGCAACAGATTCATAGTCTCTTCCGACACCTGATATACGGTCCGTCGGGTCATAGAGTCGTCTGATAATAAACGAGAACATTCTCCTCTTCCATATACTGTATACACGTATATATGTTTGGATGCAATTAATGGATGCAAAAGCCATTCAATTCAATATCAATTGCAATTTATTTTAAATATAAGTGGCGATTAACCCAAACCAAAAACCAAGCAAAAACCCAAACCCAAAGCAAAAACCCAAAACCGCCACCAATTGTGAAAAATTTTTGCCATTCAATTCAATATCAATTGCAATTTATTTTAAATATAAGTGGCGATTAACCCAAACCAAAAACCAAGCAAAAACCCAAACCCAAAGCAAAAACCCAAAACCGCCACCAATTGTGAAAAATTTTTAAACAAAATTCAATAAACAGTTTGATTCTCATTTGAAGGACACATTAATTAATGCAATAATATCAGTATCTATTAACATAAAAGTATCATTGAATTAAATTTAAACACAAAGCAATTAATACTTTTATTAATTACTTTTATATCTAATTAAATTCAAGAGCAAAGGAATTATGAAAATAAAAACTCTCTATATTTGTGGTGCAATTTGTGAGATCAAAATCCAAAGTTTTATTGAATTTTGTTATTGTTTCCATCAAAATATATGGCAAATAAAGTCTGTTTGACATACCATTAGATGTGCCAATGGAAGACATTTGAGAGACATATGGAGGTCTATCTGATCCGCCTTCCGATGCGGACCGGTTGTAATTGACTTGAAATTGCGAGGGAATCGGTTGCTTAAGAAATGAAATACCATTTTTCTGGGCGTAATAATAGATGAGACCCACAGTCAGTACTATCAACACAATGGTCACAAACGTGATGCCCAGTATTGAGCCCACACTCAGTATACCCGGCTTATAGTCAAATGTCATACTACCAGGACTTTAAAATTACAAATTTTAGTTTTTGTTGCAAAGAATAATTGCAATGAATAAATAATAAAATGATTTCCAAACAAATACCTAAAACTAATTTTGCCGACTTTGACAAAAACTGGATGTTTCCTGCCATCGACTGCCCATATTTTCTTATTTATATCGTGTATCCGACAACTAATGGCGTTAATTGTATTACTAGGTCAAACAAATACCTAAAACTAATTTTGCCGACTTTGACAAAAACTGGATGTTTCCTGCCATCGACTGCCCATATTTTCTTATTTATATCGTGTATCCGACAACTAATGGCGTTAATTGTATTACTAGGAGTGATATTACATGGTATTTGATGAGAGCTGATCAGTATTTTAATGGGATAACTAATGTGCAAATCTTTGCCACCAATTGTAAGGTCCGGTTCCTCATACCAGACCACTTGCAGACCATCTTTGAAACTATGAAAAGTCGGGTCCGGATAATAGATAAGACGCGAGAGACGACCATTAAGTCCTGTATTGTCGACGCCATCCATAATGAAATTTAATTTGGTTTCCTTCGATACAGTGATATCTAATCGGGGAGTAGTTGTGTTGAGATCCGGGGTTTGACAAGTCATTTGAGTGCCCAATGGATTGACCCAACACTGGCCCTCCATTTCTACGCGTTTTTGTTTATCAAAGCCAAAAAAGGCGTTCACTTTTATACGAGGGTTGGCCACTGAATTCAGATTAACACCACTAACAGTGATGTTTGTGTCGCCACTTTTGATGGTTGAATTCGGTTCAAATGAATTGATCCGCGGATTAGGTCTATATTCAAAGAATTCGCTCCAAACCATTGCTGACATGAATTCGTTTTTCTCAATTGATGTCTTGGGTTTATGTATCGTTTTGTTTGAATTGATAACAAGAACTGAGTTGTCTATAAAAAGTTTAACACTTGTGTCCAAAGGTAAGGACAGTGTTGCTGCTGAGGGCAGTCGACCGGACGTACATTTCAAGAATTTGCTATTGTTTTCAAACTAAGAAAATGTGTGACAAAAATAATCATATATGAAATTTAAATATTTATAATATTAGATATAAATAATAATTACTTCTTTGCAGTGAACTCCTGATAGAAGTATAGTTCTGTTGGAACCGATGTGCAGATTATGTCCAATGAGTGTAATATTAGTGCCGCCGTCGTACGGACCAAATGATGGATTAATGCCCATTATTTCGGGCTCAACGTATGTGAACACTTCACTAGACATTACCGATCCCTTGATTTCATAGGTGTGGTGCTTATCCTTTGGTTTGCGATCGATTACATGAATATATATTTTATCTAAATTTTTACAAATAATATTTACCATCAAAAAATAAAGTTTTATTAAAAGTTTAAAATTAGATTTACCTGAAACAGGTTTAGGAACTGAATCAGTTCTACATTGAACCTTGGTCATTGCCCAACTGATCACATGACATGAAATTCCGGCGATTTTAACTGTAATATTGCTGTTTTCATAAGCGCCCCAATCCTGACCCAAATTGTCACCAGTAATGGTGACAATAGTTCCGCCAGTGATTGGACCCGATTTGGGTGTGAAGTCGTATATCTCAGGCAAACAATCGAGATGATTCAAAAGGGGCTTATCACAGGCCTCGCTGGTAGAGCAGTAGTTGTCACACCAGCCGCAGTTCAATGGATCTCCAGATGACAGACACGAACTACAGGTTCCGTATATCTTACACGAGCCAAACGGCATTTCAACCAATTTATTACCCGACAAAACATAAAGGTTTTGTCTCTTTTTGTCAAACACGGGATTCGGGGCAACCATTTGATGGTTTGAATTGTCAGACAACTTCTCCTCAAATAATAACTTTTCCGATTCTTCGGTCTCATCGATGATCACTTTGGACAGCACTCCGTCGGAGGTGCCGATGGCGGCCACAGTCCTTGTATTGTGTACGTCAACGGCCAGTGATGTCACTTGACCTGCATTTTTTAAAATTATAATATTATTACAATTTGTTTAAATAAATAAAACGATAATTTCTTGCCATTAATTGATGTGAGGAATAATCCATTTAATGGTCTACTGGTCTCGATATAGGGGTTCTGTCCGGTGCCGCAGAAGCTGTCGGTCACATCTGATTGAATATGACTACAATCCGCTTTCCGGCCGTTAATTATTTCCAAAAGATGTACTCTACTATCACTGGCGCCCCGGAAGCACTCGCGGGCCGCTTCGGTAAATGCTTTGTTGATTTGTCTCATACTGAAGGCACAAATGGCGGATCCAATGGATGTGTTGATGGAAGAACCGATGGTTGGCACAGACATTGACAAGAATAATGTGTCGGCATTGGAATCGGACATAATTCCCAGCGAATCGTAATTCACGGGATTATGTGAACCAATTTTACCCAAATATCCGGTTGTGGCCAATATGTAGTCAATATTCTTACTCTTATGAGAAGAGTGTTCTGTGCCATCACGTGGTCCGCAACGCAATGGCATTTCCATATACGAGAAGAATTCGTTATCCTTCAGACATATTCTGATGAGTTTAGTCTCGTATTCTTGTGTCCGTACGTTAATGGGTTGTGTGGACACAAAGTATGCATAATGTGTGTGATTGAAACCATAAATGTATTTAACGTTAAAAGTCTGCTTATATGTGGGGTGAAAGTCGACTTTTGAAAACGATGGACTCGTATTATGCGCTAATGACATGTCTATAGAAATTCAGTGATTTATTTATAATTAAATTGAATTAACATTTTATAAATTTAGTGGTAAAAAGTATTTTATTGTGTTATCACTAGTGTCTCCCACAATAATTCTTAATTATTAATGCAAACATGTTTTTATTATTGGAAATAAACTCTAAAAATGTGTTAGATGTGATCTGTCAAAGTCTATATGACATTCAGTTACTATAAAATTCTTTGAATTAATTTAAATTCAATTTAACACAACTATTGTGTTTTTATTGCATTTATATTATAATTAGCGTAAATTTCATTCACAACACGTTTTAGACTTCAAGCCTAAAGATTCTTGATTTCAAATAAAGCTTTTTTAACAATAAATTAATTATTTTAACAGAAATCTGACATCACTTTAATCTTTGAACAAAACACTAAATGTTGTGAATATTTCTCAATAATAATTGTCTGATTGACAGAATGTATATCGTGTTTAATAGACTGATTGATGCGATAATTATGTTAATAACAGACACTTAAATGAACACGTTATATGATATGTCGGTTTTGAGTGCAATTGATTGTATTACACAATTTGCATGCATTAACAAATAAAAACAACTAAATTTCAAAATTTCCAACTTTTTTGTTGTTAGCTTTAATTAAATAGTTTTTATAAATATGAATGTTTGGGTACTCTTATCAAAGAGTCAATTATATCTGATTTTGTAATCAATTTAAAGCTAATTCTCGTTTTCATAATTTAATGAATAAAATGAAAGAGTAATAAAATGTTAAATAAAGCGTTTCCTTATAAACAGGTAGATATGGTGTATGTGTTTGTGTTGATGGCAAACATTATAAGTGTATATAAATGCAAGAAATACTACTAAATCACTATTCATTGTAAGAAATTCATTGAAAAAATCGGAAACAAGTGAATCATTGGTTAAGAATGAGAAAACGGAAAGTAAAGGTCTGTCACACAAACCAAACCAAAGGGGCTATTAATAGATGGGATCGTTTAGTTGAGAGCAAAACCCACTCTATATTATATTTATATTATTGAATAATATTTGAAACACAAATAAAAGGCTAACGAAAATCTGGTTGTCTGTAGTGTCTAACCGCCCAAAAAATCAAGTTTTCTAACCTCTTATGTCAGGCATTGGTCTCATCTCATAAGAATTTTCACTGCTTTTTGAGAGTACTTTTTGGTAAAAAATAATTTCTGAATAATAACTTCATTTCAAATTCAAGGCTAATGAATGGCTAAACGCTTTTGTAGTGTATTTCAAACGATAATAAAACTAAAAATTGAGTTTATTTAGCGATAAATCCGGGATTTGAAGACAAACGACTGATTACTCGCTCGGAATAACTTATTAATTAATTTAATGAATAATTATTTTTTAAAACTCATTTTTAGCAAAAATATTTTTCATTTATATTCTGTATTTTGTTATTAAAGCGCTATTTATAGGGAATTAATAATTAATTGAATTCATAGAATAGAATAGAAGAGCAATAAATTGGTTGATTAAAAATTAATATTTCATACAAATTGTAAATAATTAATTGCAAATATAAGTAATTATTTTTTAATTTGTAAATATGGCACAAAATATTATATTTATGATTTTAGAGAAAGAGAGAGAGAGAGAGAGAGAGAGAATTAAATGAATGGTCAAACATACAGTGGTATCCATGAAGTCTACGACTGGACACAGAGGGCGGACTCATATGAAGAGGTCTGCCGTCGTAAGCGTTGGCCACAAAGAGGACTAAGCCTTTGCCTGTAGAAGAGGGCGCGAAAAAGGCCGCACTCGACGTCTTGCTGCCCACAAAACTCATGGTGTCATTTGACGGGCCGTACAACTGATTATAGTTGGATATATTGTCGGCCTTTAACATATAGCACATACCCTGGTATGCGGTGCCGCACGCCAACAGCACCGGATGGCTTACTAATAGAACCTGATTGTCATTGTCTGTCTGTGTCTTAGGTGTATCGCAGGGCAGGTCGGGTGGCGGACACTCGAGATTGTCACTGACGGGACCCGTTTTGAACTGTTCGATGAGCGACAGATCGGAGCCCAACAGCCGGTATATGGCATTACGTCCGCCGACTATAATATCATTGTTATTCTGGTTGACTATCACATGATATAAGGGTCCGGACGGGAAAGTTGTAGTCCTTAAATGAGATGATTGTTGTGCCGATGAATACACGTGATTAACGCACACAAACACTATTACGATTAATCGCATGACAATCACTGCCATTACTCGTGAGGGATGAATACAACCATTATTTGTACGTTTGGTCTCCAAAACGGATGTCATTATTATGGTTATAATGATAACTATTGTATTGTTATATGAATTTAATTGATGAATGAATTGTGTGTTTGGACTGTCAGTGCGTCCAAGCGTTGTAATAATAGTAAATTCATATAAATTTTCATTAATACTGGCATTTATCACATGAATGAAGACATTTTAATAACTGAAACATAAAATCAAACCACAGATTAGATAATAATAGTTATATAATATTATTATTGGTTAATATCGTAACTAAAGAGACGAGTTATGGCAGAAATGAATGAACGGTTCGGTTAACTATAACTTCACTAATACTCGCAATAAATGTGTTTTAACTAAAAATAATAATTCAATGCCTATACGAGTGTCTAATTTGAAATTAATTACTATTAATAATTGATTGTTAATAGTATTTATAAATTGATAATATATGAGATGACAAACCTTTAAGTTGTGTTTTTTAACCAAATTGCAAAGTTTGGCGTTCAATGAGCGCTAATAAGCTTATCATGTAATAGGCATTGATTGTAATGTGAAGTTTGTATTGTATATCCATTTGTTGGCAACGCTATCCGTCTATAAACAATATAAATGCTATTTCATAAACATATCGATAATAAAAATTTAAACACTTTCGCGACTGGAGGTATGCATTGCTTAACATTCAAGCAATGGATATAATATACCATATTATGGTATTGTGTGAGAGAGAGTGTGTATTAGAAAACTTTTGACAAAACATTTAAACTCTGGTTCTGTAATGCCATGAGAGAGCCTTCGAGGCCGACGAGAGACTGGAGTTTGTTATGTTTGTTATGCCATAGCATATACTGGGCTATGATTATTGAAAAATATATACTCCCCCTGCATATGCAGCAAACCATGATGGTTAATACCCATCCCATCTTTGCGCAGTCTTACTAAACTGTATCCAAATCTCTACATATTTGTCACTTTTACCACAAGCGAGTGTCACAAGATCTATACCCGACAAGTGACCCAACAATCGGCTTATAATCAAAGTTTATAATCTGTGTTATCGACTGATTAGCGAAGGAAATGCTTGTTATGTTTTAATTGTCAGAAAATAATGAGTGATATTAAGGCCGGCATTGCATTGCATTTTGAAGGAGAAATGTTTGGAACAGAGTCTGAAAATAATACGATTCCGTCACTACTCTAGCGCTCACTCTCTCAACAAAACCTGATTTTATAACACAATATCATAACAGAAGGCTATTTGAGAATTGTGTCAATACTTAAGAGACATCTATTTACGTAATTTTGTTACTTTCGAGGAATTTTAGTTCAAAAAGTTTTCTTTAGAACTTCTCTTCGAATTTAAAATAATTGCATTTTTCAGTGCTTTTAGTTTCATTGACTCTACGCTTATCACTAAATAAGCAAGCAAATAGTATGCATTAATGGCAATCGTTTTTGCAATATTTGAGATTTCCTTCCCTATTATCGGCTAAACAATCGAAACTTGAATATAAAATGATTTATTTTTCACTTAAATTTAACGATTATTTTAAAAGTTTATAAAAATAAGAATTGGCAGCAAATGCCATAACTTAACCGCACTTCTATTCCCGCAATAGTTTTATGCAGTGCTTTAAACAATTTTTGCATTAATTAACAAATTTAATTAAACAACATTCCAGCGTTAATTAAATTTTATTAACAAAATTTGGTATTTAATAACCATTAAACATATGGGTTAAAGGTGTTAATTGACAAATATTAGTCCAAACACATCACTACATGTAAATATAACACCAATCAATAGACTGGAATCGCAGTCAGAGCTTAATAATTACTACCAAATCTTGTTTATATGTAATGTTTACTGAATCACAAAGAATGCCCTCATAATGAATAGTCAATGCAATTGAAAAAGGTTTCAAAAGCAATGATTTTGTTTTTGTATAAATGTGTTCACATATAAAAGTGTATATTTTTATAAATGATTGTCATTACAAAGCAGTTCTTTATAATTGCATTTAATGTTTTAAATTTAAACCTTTTAACACTTTAATGAATTTCCTTGAGAACCAATTTTATTTATAGGAATACTTCAACAAATTATTCATTGCTTATAAATTTTAATGTTTTATAACTATTAATTATTTATAATTTCAATGTTAATATTATAATCTTATAATGATATAATCTTATGAAATAAATAAAATAAATATTATTATGATTAATATAAATTAAAATTATCGCAAACTACTTAACTGAAAGCCCGGCACTGTAACAGTACAGTAGTTCTTCTATTAATATTCTGGTAAATTGTTGAATAATACTATATATAGGGAGTAATACTATATTTGTATTATTTAAATGTTTTTATCGATGATAAGAGTTAACCAAAACATTTATTCAATAAATCATTTCCTTTTAATTGACTCACAAATACAGTCCAAAAGTTAGGTTTGAGAGGCAGAGAAAAAATAGATCTTATCCATCGATTTCCTCGCATTTGTTATACAAAATAGTCTAAGTTTTCTTCAAAACACCAGTCAGTCATCCGTCGCCTAAAGAATTTGACAACAATTGCATTTCATTTATCGATTATTCATTTAATACATTAAATAAGTGTTGAATAAATATTTATTAATTTTTTTCTGTTTATAATACTAGAGAAAAGTTTGTCATATCGTCTCCAATATAGTGATGAATAAATTTATGACTAATTTTGTTGTGTTTTATGTAAACATATTAATCAATTGCAAATCCAGTGTCGAAACGCCTTGCGGTGAACCGGGAGTTCCCAACAACGGGTTTATTAAATATTTGACAACAAATAGTACTTTAACAGCGAACACATCAATCCCTGGACACTCGGCTCCGGGAACTAAAATTCAATACTATTGTACAACAGATTCATTATTATTTGGCACAGAAAGAAGACAATGTTATCCGCAAGGATTTTGGGACAATAGAGTCCCGCAATGCGTTCAATCCATTCAAATACAAAATGTATTAAACTTTGCAACTTTTGACATGAAATCTAAGAAAGCTTTAAATAATGCTTTCGATGGACGTCTCAATACATGTTTCAGATCTCAAAGCACTCAACAAAGCGGTCATTCAGTGGAACTAACATTTCAAAAGAAATTAGACATTAAAGCTATTCGTTTATCTTTTGATTCGGTGAGTCTTCAGGACTCAAATTCAAGCGATTATAGTCTTTGGATCGGAGATAAAGACGAGAAGAAAAACTATGAAATTCCCAAATCCATAGAACCACTCGATTTAGTCAATACTAAGACATATATACACAACTGTATCGGCACTATAGCTTAAGCGATTATAGTCTTTGGATCGGAGATAAAGACGAGAAGAAAAACTATGAAATTCCCAAATCCATAGAACCACTCGATTTAGTCAATACTAAGACATATATACACAACTGTATCGGCACTATAGCTGCCGATTACCTTCAGATAAACTACGGCAACACAAACCACGAGTTTATTTTATGCGAATTACAAATCTTTAGTGTGAATCACAGCAACGGTCTTCGGTGCGGCTCTCCTGATGTACCGCTCAATGGACGGGCAAAGACACGATTCGTTAATAATAGCCTAATCGCAGAGTTTGATTGCACTGCCAATTATATATTGATTGGGAACCGCGAGATCAAATGCGAGTCGACTGGCATTTGGTCGCATTTGTCGCCCTTCTGTAGCAAACAGTTTGCGAGTCCACGAAATAAAACAAAGAAAGTGCTTTCAAACACAAATCGATATAATGTGAAACATAATAAAACTAGTGTTAATGACAATTGCATGCCATTAAAGGACAATAACGGGACATTCAATTTGACAGATGGTCTCAATATCGGGACTCGCGCTACACTTCACTGCCATAAAGGATTCAAAGGACCGACAAAAACCACTTCCTTTGAATGTATGCCAAATGGCGTTTGGAATCAATTCAATAATTATAGCCATAATTGTATTCAAATTAGATGTAATTCCAGTGATTTGAAAGCAAACTCATTCGTCAAACAAATTATTCCAACAATTTTGGAGGAATTTGTAAAATATTCTACAAAAGTAAACATTTATTGCAATCATTCATCGATATATCAAAGAGTTTGTGGAATAAATGGCTTTTGGGTTAAATATGATGATATGGACAACACTAAAGTTGTTAACGATATAATCATGTTATGCGAAAATAATGAACAAATTGATAATAATTCAAATAATAGAAATCTCAGTCATCTTAAGTCAGATAAAATTTCATTGCAAACATTGATCATAATATCATCGATGGCCGCAATCACGACCACTATATTTGTATTCATTTTAATCGCATGTATTCGTTGCGTAAAACAAAAGTTAGTTAATGTTTGCGTCAAAACTCGTAAACCAAGACGAGAGTTGCCATCGATTCCCGTCAATGACTTCTCAATCATACAAATAAAACATAACTTTGGAAACAGTAGACGAAGGGGTGATATGTCGACGAATAGCGCATATAATCCGCAATCGCTATACAGTAATGAGACGGAAGTAGAGACACGATTCTCAAGCGTTGTGTTGGGTTCGGGACGTAAAACATCAATAATTCATACGTATAGCGAACCCATAGATATGGATATTACCGGACAGTACTTCTTGGAGGAGTCTATAAGTGATAATATATATTCTGAACCATTCAATGATAGTGTCGAAGAAGATAATCAGTTATATAATTGTAAGACTTTTAAATAGATTTGTTAAAGAATTTGGTAATATATAGTGGAATTGCTTTGTGTTTACACTTGTATCGACCAAATGGTAATATCAGTGAGAGTTTGTGCCAAATATAGTTTCATTGATCATAAAATAAAATGATTGATTCAATGAAAGGCCGCCCATAAAACAAATCAATAACAATCGTATTTATTTCTGTGAATTAAAATATTGTAAATCTTCATTAACTCTGAAATCGATTCATATTTTATTTGAGCCAAAAAACAGTAAACGAGTGCTTAATATCGATATCAAGTAATCGATAGAAAATAAAAAACTTATTTATATATCTTTAAAAAACATTTAAAACTAAAATCAAAAATAAATATTAACATAAGAAGAGCTGCAGAATAATGAACAAAGAGATAGAGACAGAAACAAAAGATAAATTAAATTGAAAGCATTGATATTACTGTCTATTTTAAAATGTGAACTAACTATCGCTGAATCGGTATTTGCTTTTTATGAACTATTTTATGAATAAAGAAATTTAGTTAAAAAATTATTTGTATAATTGTTAAAATAAAATGCAATTGAAGTTTAATTGTAATTAGTATCTAGAAAACAAGAATTTGCTAACAATTGTGTTTTTAGTTACGGTTCGCCGAAAAAGTGCTTTCAAAGTGTTTTGGTTTGCAGTTTGAGATGAATTATAACGCATAGTCGGTGTCGACGTCCGCGAGCCACGGATGAAGCAGACAATCACGAGCTTTGGCTCTCTTCAGGGGGTCGTACTCTAACATCGGTAACAGAAAGTCGGCGAACTGTTCCGCTTTCGATACACTCCAGTCGTACTTCTCGGTCAACACTTCGCATAGACTCCACGGTTTCAATGAGTGAATGTTTCGCAATTCGCCTAATGTTTGGCCACAAACACAAACAGATAAATAAAAAACAATTTATTTTATCATTCAATACAATCCTAAACTATGAATACAAACCTCTCTTATTGAAGAACTCTCTGGAGTAGCGACCGGTAAACGCAATATTCTTAGGAATGGGACCCAAGAGTTCGATTATATGCGCCAAATGGTCGTCATCTCTGGAGTATTCTTCGGCAGAATGAGGTTCAAAGAGATAGTCTCCGGTCGCCAACTCGAAGGCCATGCAAGCCGTCGACCAAATGTCAGCGGGTGTGCCATAACCGGCGCCGAGTATTACTTCCAGACATCTATATTGACGAGTTTGGATGTCTTCTGTGAAGTGATGAGTCTTCAGGTTTCGATATTCAAATGAGTAGTATTTAGAATAAGCTTTTTATGCACTAAAAGAGTTGAAATGGCTTTAATAGACACATACCTCCCAACAGGCATTCCCAAGATCTGCAATCTTGACATCAATATCACAAATATCATGAGAGGGATCGGGCGAGCGATCTATTAGTCTTTGTTGATCTAAGATATAAAGTGACAACCATTTTAGATATTTATGGAAAAGAGATGACGAGTTTGGCGTCAATACCGGAACAACTGGCCACTCGTCTCATTCCCGACTCTTTGTATTTTTGACAATTAGTAACTAAAGCGCTTTCAGAGCGCTCTAAACGGTTTCGAGTCTCACTATTGGATGGACACATGTTTATGCTATCGTCTCCGGAAACAGCAATTCTGGTGTGCGATCTATAGTGATGTCCGTTACAGACTTCGGCACCGGAAGACGCTATCATTGATGAGACATGATTTGGTTGATCGGGTGACCCGTCGTCCTCCTCGACACCTGTCAAGCGATCGCAACCGTTTCGGTGAACGCCGTCGTCGATCGAGCCGTCGTCATAATAGTAGGCCATTCGAGGACACGAACGGCTGTCGCCGTCGACGGGTGAGGACCGTTCCCTGAGCTCTACTTCAGCCAATTGTTGCATTTGGATCTCTCGTATTTCGGCCAACTTTTTCGCCTTCTTTTTCAGCTTTTTCTTCTTGTTTCGCGACATTTTCGATGACATCGAAGGCCCTAATCGACAGAATTAGCGGTTCAGACAATGCGAGTCTACAAAGTGGTAGTCGTATTACTCACCCAATAGTTCTTTGGGAGCGTTTGAAATGAGAGAACCCGGGAGTTTGACTCCCATTTGCTGCCACTGATAGGCCTCATTGGCCAGCCGTCGGACGTACGACTCGTCGACCGTCAGTAGAATATTCTCGGGTTTAATATCGGTGTGAATTATCTTACATTTGGTGTGCAAATACTCCAACCCTTGCAAAACCTGCGTTCAAATCAAACAAATTAACACTTATTTCCGCGCAATTCATGGCTTAATTACTTGTTTTATGATTCGCTTAACGTTTATGAGAGGTATTCCGTCATAATTAGATCGGATAATGAGTTTCAATAGATTACAGCCCAACACTTCAAACACCATACAAACGTCTAAAAAATAATGGTTTATAATTATAATTATGTTCACAATTCAGCCAATGTTTGGACACCACTTACGATTGCCGTTCACTCCACTCAGTTTGAAGTCATCCAAGAGCCGCACCACACGGTGTCCGTAGGGATCCTCAGAATCGCTTTCCCGTACCTTAAGTTCAATACAACAAAAATCAATATCATTTGAAAGACAATTGTTTGACGAAAAATATGTATAATTCTATGAGTTTGTGTCGAAATGCTTACACTTTTAAGTAATTTGATTTCATCGACGGCTGTCTCCGTATAATGTGATGCACTCTTCACACACTTGAGGGCAACGAAGCGGCGGTCGCTATTGAGTGGAGAGAAAGAGATGGTAATTGTTTGGAGGGATGAGAGGGTGAGAGGGATGGAGAGTGTGATGGATGTAGAGTCCAAACATACGTGAGATCCCAAGAGAGCCAAACGGTGGAGAAGTGTCCCCATCCGAGCTTTCGGGCGACACAATAGCGGTTGTTGAAGACGTCGCCGATCTTCACGGGATGGTAACCTCCCTTCACGTATAAACATACGTGAGATCCCAAGAGAGCCAAACGGTGGAGAAGTGTCCCCATCCGAGCTTTCGGGCGACACAATAGCGGTTGTTGAAGACGTCGCCGATCTTCACGGGATGGTAACCTCCCTTCACGTAGTCGTTGGGGTCTTCCTGTTCGTCGTCATCGGATCCAATCAGCTCTTCGTCGTCCTCTTCTTCGCACGCATTCAGTGAATGCCTTTTGTTGTCCTTTCGATGGCTTTTCATGATTAGTGTCTCATTTGTATTGACACTCATTTCTATCGCAATTCAAATCATATTTATTATTAACAAAACACTAAACGAAATGCAAATCTCGTCCAAAGCTTTCCCCAATTCAGCAAAACCTGTACACAAGACACACAACGCATGCGCGCCAATGCATGCGCTCATACGGCACACAATATGATATACAGTTACCACTCGATTATAACTAACCATTTATACACTAATACACGTTTATTAACATTATTTGAGCAAAATGGACAGTAAACCGGTCGGTGTAGTTAGCGTCACGTATCTCTTTGTACAAAACCTCAAACTTGGGTCGCGTGACCAGTGGAGCCACACATAACACTATGATTCATAGAAATTCTTATTGATTTTCAAATAACGATTAATTTTTAAAAAATGCTTTACTTAAATAAAACAAATAAAAATTTCTAATTATATTAATTGAAAATGCATTTATTAAAAGTCAGTTTAATAAAATTATTTAGATTTTGCTGTTTATTTATTGAGAACCTAATAAATGTAATGTAAGGCATCACCCGATATAAGTTTAGTATTTGTATTAACCAAAAATAGTGTTATATGCGGTTATACTGTATGACTACATTATTGTGAGCCCTTATTTGACTCTCAAACCCCTTCGTGTTTGTGGACGTAATATATGATGAAGGGGTCAGTAAATGTGGCCCCCATTTGATAAGATTGCCACAAAAATAATGAGACCGGTTGATAGTTGGCCATGAATGTAGCATGCTCATTCATACGAATTGATGCTCATTTATAGTGATTTGCGGTCCATTCGGCCAATGATTGGGTGACTTTGCAATTGAATGACTGCATCGAGTATTGCATTGAGTAATGCATTGATTGGCAAACATATGCCACGTGTTGTCAATACTCCCGATATTGCTATGAAATGACAGTTAATTAATAGTTTAGAAATAATTGAATGTTAATATGTGTTAATTGATGTCATATTTATGCCATACTATAACTCATGTGATTGTTATGATTGTGAATATAATTAATTGAAGTGAATATACAATGGATTCGTCGGACATCTCATCTGATCTCTCATCTCAACAGCAATTAGTGAATCAATTGCGGGAAAGACTCCAACAAAATGAGTCCCAATTGAAGGGTCGAGAGTCAGAGTTCACTGAATTGCAGTCAAAATTTAATAAATTGAAATTTTTACACAAATCCAAGACATCGATCACATCTATGACCGCTTCTATGGCCGACTCCACGACACCCACACGTAGTCCTCAAAGCGATGATAAGACACCGCCGATTGACACCACTAGTGCCGCGTCAATGACCGCCTCAATGACCGCTTCAATGAGTCCATTGGCCACCGATTCGGCCAATAGGGGGAAGTTTTTGTTGCTTAAGAAACAGCTGGAAGAGAGTCGGTCTCTGAACCAAAAACAGGAGTCCGAGAATCAGCTGATGAGACGTGAGTTACAAGAGCTGAAAGAGCGGCAAATCAAATACGAGGCCGAAAGGGACGACAACGATGTGGAAGTGATTACATCGACCGACACTATAGACAACGAGAGCGAAATGTTTGCCCAAATTGTCTACAAAGACACTAAGATTATGGAAATGAATCAAAAGATGTTTGAACTCGAGGCTAGGATTATGGATCTCCAGGTATTATCATTGTTACCATTGAATTATCATTACAACTGATGTGTACTTCTTGTCATGTGTAGTGCTTTTTATTTCCTTATAAATTTAAAGTCATTTCTTTGTCCATAAGAATCGATTTAATAGTTTGCGTGTCTTTTAGTGTTGTTTTCAATAATTTATTGACTTATAAGTATTGTCTTAATTAATGCTAACGTTATTTGAAGTGTTTTTTGATGGAGAAAATTGATAAATAATATAAAATAAAACAACAGTTTTATTCTTACAGTTATATAATGTTTTAATTATATTTGTAATGAGTTTTGTGTCATTGAATATATAGGAGAACTTGAAAGAGCAGAATGAAGTACTTCAGGCACGGAATCGGGCCATAAAAGTGCTGTTAGCACAACAACAACAGACGTCGGGTCCGCTCAACACCACCTTTGATGATGTGATACAACGAGAAGAGGAGAGGGAAAGGATTGAGAGATTGAAGGAAAGGGTTTGCGAACTGGAGATGGAAAAGGGAAGCCTTCAGCTGAGGCTCATGGAAGTGGAGGGCACTAATGGCTCAAAGCCTCCCCTCATAGACATTGAATTAGAGAGGGATTCGTTGCGCGCAGAGAGAGATGACATGAAAATACGTTGCGATGAATTGATGGCTAAATTTGATTCATTAGAGTTGCAAAAGGATAAAGTGTTGAGCGATAAGGAAAGGATTGCCAGTGAATTGAAAAAACTTAAAGAAATTAACAATCATTTGAATAGAGATAAAGATAAACATAAGACAGATATCGAGCAATTGAATCAAACGGTGGCGAAGAATAAACAATCCTATGATTTAGTGAATAATGAATTGAATGCTTTGATGGCAGCGATGGGAGACAAAGACAGTGAAATACAATCAGTGAGACAACAGTTAAGTGAATTAGCGCTCAAATCAAAGAGTATTATCTCAGAAAAAGACAGTTTTATAAGTGATTTAAGGGAACAATTGGACCAAAACTCTAATAACACTGTAATCTCGGATAAAGAAGAAGAAATCCAAGCGTTAAATAATAAGTTACAAGAATTGACAAATGAAAAGACCAAACAAATGGACGATTTGACCGCAAATCTAAATGAATTACAGAATGAAAACTGGAATTTAGTGAATATGAATGAAGAGATGAAATCACAAAACAATGAATTTGAGCAAAGATTGCGAACCATTCAATCGGAATACGAAACACAAAAAGAGAATTTACAACAAATATATGCCGACAAAGAAGGCGTTGAAACCGAAAAGAATAGACTCGTCGAGCAATTCAATAACGGCTTACAAGTGCTTCAAAACGAGAACTTAGATTTGAAATCACAGTTAGAAACCAATACTACGGAAGTGTTGAGATTAGAGGAGAAAATATCTCAACTATTGAATACAAATGATAACCAGAACTCGGAGTTGTGTCGTGAGATCGAGACACTCAAGTCGTCGAATGCAGATCTAGAGAGTAATCATAATATAAAAGTATCGCAATTAGAAGAACGGATCCAAAACACTACCGCCGAAGTGTCGGCTCTCGACCACCAGAAGAATGCTTTATTGGAAGAATTGGAGACAATTAAATCAGATTTGGAGAAAGAAGTCCAACAAAAACTAGAGGCCATGAAAACAGCACAAGATATTGACCAACAAAGGAATTCCGACTATGAATTGATTACTCAAAAAGACAATCACATCCAGAGTTTGCGTCAAGAATTGGAAACAATTGGAATGAATTTGGAGAAAGAAATTCAACAAAAATTAGAGGCCATTAAAGCTGTTGAAGACATTCAACACGAAAAGTATACTGAAAGTGAAATAATGGCAGAAAAAGACCAACAGATCGAGAGTTTGAGGCAAGAAATGGAGAAATTGTCGACTCGTCTCAATGAACAGAAGAATGAAATGAATGCCTTAAATAAAGAACAGGTCAGACACTATACACACTATACTGTATTCTATATCGTTAATGATATTCACACATGTATTTTGCAAAATATGCAAAAAGCATATAAATTTTGCCCTAAATATTGTTTTCGTGATCACTTTTAAGCATTACTTATACCATAACCATAGATACGAGCGAAAGTTTACACTTAATTATTAGCTTTATTTTAAAACTATAATAATTCTTATATGAATATTAGTTTGACTTTAGTTTTAGTTTTATTTCATTTTAATGATCGCTTCTCTATTCGTATCATTTCCACTGTTTTACAAAAATAAGATTTTTTATATTTTGAAATGAAGTTAAATATAATTTATTAGAGTTTTTATATTTTGTCATTTAATTTGATCGCAGGAAGAGTCGCATGAATTTGCTGTTAAAGAATTAGAGACAGATTTAGAGGAGAAGATTAAAGCATTTGACGAATTGTTACGAAGTTATAAAGAAAATGAAATTTTATTAACAAATAAATTGGAAGTTATTGACGAAATGAATGAACAAAAGCAAGATTTGGAGAATAAGTTCGAAGAGGCGAAAGTGAAGAACCAAACTCTGGCCAATCAAATGGAGAATTTGATTAAAATGGTTGAGATTGAGAGCCAAGAGAAAGAAAGACTACAACAATCTGTTGATAGGTTTGTGTTTGATTTGTTTGTATTTAATGTAATGTCTTATCATTTGATTATAAATAGTATGCAAAGAGAAAACTTCGATGAAAGCGATTTAATGCGAGACAAAGACGAGAGAATCGAGAATTTGCAGAAAGAGATTCGAAAACAAGTGGAAGACATGCAAGAGATTGAAGAGCTGTTGACTGAGAAGCAGAACGAAATCGACGGCTTGAATAAAGATCTCGTTTTGGTTCAAAAGGAAAAGATTGAGTTCGAGAACCAAACGGAAGATCTAACCAAACGATTGCAAACCATTGGCTCGAAAGCGAACGACGAGACCACAGATCTGTTGCGACAAATTGAAGACCTCAACGAAGAGAACGACTCGATTAAGAATGAAATTAAAGGATTAAATGACAAACTGAGCGCTGAGTTGAGTGCAGCGACACAAAGGTCTGACTCACGAGAAGCGGACAACTTGTCGACTATTGAGGAATTGCGGAAACAGTTGGAAAATAAAGAATCGAAACTTACGGAAGCGATGACCGAATTGATGGGCAAAAGTAGTGACAATACGGACACGAATTTGTTGCGCAACGAAATACAAGTGTTGAAAGAAACTCTGGATTCTCAGGAACAGCAAAACCAAGTGATGAACAGTGAATTGCAGTCAAACATATCTCAGTTAAATTCATCGGTTCTCGAATATAAAGTGAGTTTTCATTATTTTTAATATTATTATATTATATGTTAAGTTAGTTCTGGCAATAGTTTGCATAAAATCGACTCTCAGAATAGATGTTCGATAACACTATTGCCTAATATTAAATGATAACATTATACTGAATGTATTGCTTACGTAATGATTGAGTGATCGCATATCACACGGTGTTAACACTTGTAATTAATTTTAGGCGCTTTTGGATACGGCTCGCAATCAGATACAGAGGTTAGAGACCGAAAAGTTAAGTGCCATTCAAGAGACAAATCTAGTGAATCAAGTGTTAGAGAATGAAAGAGACAATCAATCGATTGTAAATACAGAGAATCAACAATTAAGACAACAAATAAGTCACTTGGAGTCTGAACTGCAAGCCATCCGTTCGCAGAGCGAATCCGTCCAAAGTTTTCAAATTATTGAATTGAATCAAACTATCGATGGCTTACAGAAACACAATTCACAATTGAGTGCAAGTTTGGAGCAAATGAAGGCCTTCTCTACTGATAGTCAAACCTCGAGTTTAAAACAATTTGAGTCTTTTCAGAGGGATTCAGAGAACCAACGCTTGGAATTAAATCAACGAATCATTGAATTGCAAAACACTATCGAAACGATAAATGTTGAGAAACAGCGCTTTGAATACGGCTTTTATGACTTACAGAATAGATATCAGGAATTCGATCGCTTATTGCAGAATAAGAACATTGAAATGGGTATTGATTTTTGTTATTCAATACAACAAATATTTCTGCTTTAATTCTTAACAATATTTTTATATATTATAGAGAATTTCAAACAAATAGAGGATTTATACCAAAAACTCTTGAAGTCGTCGAATAGTCTAAAGGAAGAGAAAGAGCATCTCTTAAGTGTGTTATCAGAAAAGGAGAGTATAATTGAAGCCAAGGATAAAGAGAAACAGCAATTGATTGAAGAGAAGCAACTCATCGAACAGAGCTATAAGGATAAGGATTATAACGTTTCTGATCTCAATTCGCAAATCCATGCCATGAATCAATTGAATGAAAACAATCAGATGAATAGCGAACAGTTTGTAGTCAGAGAACAGGAATTAATGGCCAAAATGGGAGAACTCGAACAACAAGTGGAGGAATGCAAACGAGTTAATGAGGAAACTGAGGCTAAATCATCGGAAACTGAATATGAATTGGATATTTTGAAGCGAAATTATGGCATAGAAATGGACAGTTTCGGCGCTCAGGTCACTGAACGCGAGACTCTTATTGAGAAACTTCAGGACAGAAATGAGAAACTGAAGCGAAAGTTAAACAAAACAGAGCATACAGTGAAAGAGTTCACTGAAAAAGAGGCTTATTTTAAGTCAAAGTTGGATGAATCGGAAGGACTGGTGAAATACGAGCAAATGCAGAGACAGACGGCTACCGACTCTCGTATATTTGAATTACAACAACAACTCGAAGAGAAGGAGAGCTCTCATCAAAATGAATTATTAACAGTCAGAACAGAAAACAATAATTTATTGACTTTAGAGCGAGAGTTGAGGCAAAAGAACGAAGAATTGTCGCAAAGAATCAATAATGGAAGAGATGTGGAGACGGAAATCAATAACTATCGCTCCCATATCGAGACACTCGTCAATCAATTGGAGTCCGAGCGCATTGAGAAGCGACACATTCAGGACTTATACCAATCCATTGCAAATAGTGGTCAAAACTCGGATCAAGTGAATCAACTGTTGACACAAATGGAGACCGAAAAGCAAATACAATTGGGTATGAGTTATAACTCGCAAACACAATAGAGTCCTAACTTTTTGAAATTAGTTTTACATTCAATTTATATTTCCTTTTGTTATAATTTCAGTCCAAAGGCAAGAATTGGAGCTGAAATGCAAGAAATTTGCCGCAAAATTCAAAGTGAAAGATAGAGAAGTGAATGCATTGGAAGAGAAGCTGCGAATCGCTAAAGAGAACGCATCGAAGAATGTGAACGAAGAGGAACTCATAGACAGTACGAAACGTGTGGAAGAGTTGACCAAAAAAGTGGACGATTTACAGTTCACGGCATCCAATTTGGACGCAGCCCTACAGACAGAGCGCCAACGAAGACGCGAATTGGAGAACGAGAAGAACACATTCTGGGGTCAGGCGTCCCAAAAATCGGGTGACTTGAGCGCAGTCGAGTCGGACGGACACTCGACAGCGTCGACCAGTTTCTCGCTCCTCATCGACGAAGGTATGGGCGATAAGAGTGGCTTCACTTCTGCCAAACGATTCATAACCAAACAGAGACACTATCTGTTGAGAGGGCCCGCGAACGCCAAATATAAACGTATAGCTATTGTTATATATTTGGTTGTATTTCACGTACTGTTACTCAAAATGTGCCTTTTTTAACACCTATTTATCACTCAATACAATAGTTATTTAGATTTGATTTTTTAAAGGTATATATTTTTCATTTTTTATAACTTATTTTTTGTTAATTTTGAGGCAATTTCTGAAATTTTATTTATAATTTATGTGTAATATCCTTTAAGTGACGGGCCATTAAATGTATTTCACTGTACATTGTACATGAATTGGGTGGACACTGTACCCTCAAAAAAGAGAGATGAGCAAGGTGGTTAATTTGAAAATAAAAGTTCTGAAGTGGGTG